GAATCTAATGAAATTGTTAAATGTCTTACACGACAATATCAACGTGCTATGACTAGATTGATTACCTATCGATTTATTGTACAATTAATTATTTCGAATAAAGATAATAATCAATGTTTGAATATTTTATTTATGAATTTAAAAGATAATAATTTAGATTGGCATTTTCTTGAAAATATTCAAGCGTCAAATAATCAATTGAAAGAAGATATTGGACATCTCTATTATAAAATTATTAAAAATATATTATCAATTTCAATAGAATCTAATATGAAAACATTATGTGTATTGAATCTCATCAATTTAAACTATAATTCGATGGATTTATGTCTTTTGAATGATTTTCAATTTATTCAAGAATTATTTAATCCATTTATTAGCTTGACCAAAATAGATATGACAAATGTCGATTTAATCAATATGAAATTTACAGTATTCAATTGGTTTCGTTTAGTTGTATTAAAATTATGTGAAAATATTGAATTAGAAGAATTACGAAATATGCATCTTGGTAATCGAAAATTTCATCATATCTTACAACAACAATGTAATTTAATTTTTAATAAATTAATTTTAACTGAACTCAAACAATTACAACAAAACAAATTAACATGCGGAGATTTATCATTGAAAAATACTTCTCTTCGTTCTTCTATTCGATCATCAAAATTCGATGTTGATATTTGTATTGATCGATATTTAATGCTTCTACTTCGTTGTATTCATTTATATGATCATATTCGATTGAATTATGCTACAATGGATTATATTGAACAACTGTTCAATTTATATCATACAAGTCAATCTCTCAGTACTCGTCTATTAACATTAAGGATTCTACGTGATCTATTGATATACTTATCAGAAGATACGAATAGATCTTTTATTGAAGATCTATTAACAAAAATTTTATTTTCTATTGGTCAAAATTTTAATTTATTAGAAACTGAGAAAATAGATCTTGATATTATTATTGAATTTATCTATATCTATCGTACGATTATATCACATTATTCACCATGGCAAAAGTTTGCAACGAAATTATTCGTCGATGCAATAAAATCTGGTATGAATCTCAATTTTACATCATTAGAAACGATCGAATTACAACAAATGAATTTCTTTCTTGCATCAATATGTATCTTAGGTGGTTATGTTCGTCCGTATTGTTTAGGATCAACTGTAGAAATCTATTCAACTAATACAGATATACAAGAATTACAATCTGCAATTATAATTGAAGTTAATATGGATGCTCT